TTCTATAATAAATATATACCCATATTATTAATAAATTATTATTTTATTTAAAAAAAATACTAAATATACTTTAATTTTTTCAGGCAAATTTGCCTGGATTATAGTTTAAGAGATAAATTAAAAGTAATTACAAAATACACCTATGATAGTTTTTACCTATTATATGTTTTTTTTATGTTTTTTAAAAATTTCTAAGTTTTTATAAATTTTGTATATAAAATTTTAACACTAATTTTTTCATATTAAAGTTAATATTAAGGTTAAGATTAGGGTTTGGAAAGAGTTTTTAGAGCATAAAACATTTTTACTTAGAACATCTTACATTGAAAATAATATATGCATAAATGTAAAATACCATAAATGCATTTTAGTAAAATTCCAAATTAATTTATTAATTTTAATTTTATTAATTTTATTTATTATTTATTTATTAATTTTTTATCTTGTTATTTTATTATCTTAGTTTTATTTTTTTTTATTAATTTTGATTTTTTAAAAATTTTTTAACAAAAGACAAAATCTAGTTTTGACTTTCATTAGTAACAAAACCCTTAGATTTTGTCTAACAATATTAGTTAAACCGGATTTATTTTTATATATTAAACCAGTTTTTAATTTCTTTAATATATATAAAATAAAACCAGTTTCAAATATTAGCACTTGTTTCAAATTACTATTTTAAATCTTTAGAGTAGTACTTACCCCTGAAACTCGATTTTTTTATACATTTTAAGTTGTAATTTTAGAGATAAACAACTTAAATGCCTTATATAGTAATTTAAATAGAAAATTATTATAATATATATAAAAGCAATTTTTCTTTTTGCTAAAACTATATCGTAACAAATATGCAAAATCAAAATAATTTAGAAACATATAAAGAATGTTCTCGTTGCAAAGAAATGAAAATAGATAATGATTTTATTCGTTTACATGGCAAAAACATTAAATCATATACCAATTGCAATTTTTGTGCTTCTAAAAAAAAATCAAAACTATATAAAATCAAAAAAAACCTAATAACAAAATTTTTCAAAAAGTTAAACTGAAATTGGAACATAATAATATAAATTTAAGTGACGATGAAAGTTTAATCAGTATTGAAGATGAAAAACCTGAAGATAATGAAAGCCTTCTTTTTGAAATTAACGATTTTGAGGAACATTTAACAACATCATTTGAGATATCTGAAGAGAATAATAATTCAATTAACATTTATATGGAAATTGAATTAGAACAACAATTAATTGATCAAATATTTTTCAATAATAACACCATTAATAAACAGGATACTAACCTTCGAGGCTTTATTGATATGTTTTTGATACGGCTATATAATGCAACCAAATATTGCTGGGTGCGTTGATTAAGAACCTCTTGGCATGTATCAATCTCTTTTATTAGAGAACCACCTACTTTCCCAAATGCCTCAATAAATTGTTGGTTGTTTTTGTTTTGTTTTAATAGTTGAATTGCAGTCTCCATTGACTTAATATACTCATCTGCAGCTTCATTTGTTTTCTCAAGATTTTCAAGTTCAGATGAGTTACGCTCAGCATTATTTGAAAAAATTTCATTAGAATTATTAAATTCTGGTAAAAACTCTATACTATTATTTATGTTCATGTCCCAAGAACTATTTATGCTATTAATTCTTGATGAAGGCTTATTATCAAAATATATCAAAGGATAATCATGTCTATGCTTAGTATTTATAAAAAGAAGAGCAAAAGTTGGGTCTGATATATTTTTTGCCGCTATAAGATGTTTGCAAATAAGATAAGTACTATTCAGATAAGATGGACATGAACATATCTATTGTTTAATATCGACATGATAATCATTAGATTTACTTGGATCTTGTTTTGCTGCTTTATTCCAATTTTGCTTAAATGATGTCCACCAAGATGGAATCTCACGCATTTCATTATATCTTATATAGGTATTTATCATATCCGGAACAAATTGTAAGAGTTAGTGAAATTAAACCTGCAATAGAAAGATATCTATGCAACGGCAATATTAGATTAATCATT